CACCCTATGCTTAAAACAACCAAGGGATTCCACTTAAAGTATTAGTTTACAATAATAGTTTTAATAAATAGCTGTCATTCTAGTTTTATACACAACAGAAATTATGAAACCCTATAGCTAGATATCGTACTATAATCTACAGCGGATTAGTAGCTGTGTTCATAGGCTAGTCAACTGTCCTCACATCCATCAAATAGCTATCCAAATGTCGCACCCCAATTCATCCATCTAGCAACTTAGCTGGATGCTAGTCACTATATTCATAGGCTAATCATTTCTACACCTCAAAAATAAAAAAATCCTTGTTTTGCTACACAAATCAGCTAACTTGTTTCTAAACCATCAGTCGCAAATACAAGGATACATACGTACACATACTCCACAACCTATACATTCATAGAGAATAGCCTAGTTTTTTTGCCACCATTTCCCCATTAATCAGATGTAATTTATGCCATACACAGAAAATACAGCATTTACACACCAAATATGCCATTTATGTACAAAATATATTATTTACACTCAAAATATATCATCACACAAAAATATGTCATTTATAGACAAAAATATGACATTTACATACATAATATGCCAGTTGCACCCAAAATATACCATTTACACAATATTGCATGTACACTCAGATTATAACATTTACAGAAAGTATGGTATTTGTACAAATATATCAAAATGCTTATGCATTTAGACGATCAAAAATGCGTTTTCACTAAAATTACACAATTTTACAAACATAATTTTCACAAAAATACTCTCACATTTTCTCATAAACCAAATACACTTACTCCATGAAGATCTATTTTTTCAGATTACAGAGCTTACACAAAATACACAATTTGCACACAAAAAATACAGTTGCACCAGTTCCACTTCAGCATATTAAAAACACAACTTGGATAAAGGCAGTATTAGTACAAAAATTATTATAAAACATGGACAATTATTAAACAATTTGTGTAATTATTATACATCTTTGCACAATTAATACAAGAAAACTTTCTATATAATTACTGAACTTGCACAAAGACAATTAATACACAAAGGCATTAATAAACAATTCGTCCATATGCAATTACACAACACGCGCAATTAATAAACAACTTTCACAAATATTACACATCTTTCATAATTATTACACAACTTGCACAAATACATATCTAGCACAAATACGCACAATTCATAACTACCCCAAATATGAAAATACGCAACCAGCATAAATACACGATTTGCACAAATACAATTTCAACATTTACACAATTAATTCACAACTTGCTTAAAAATATAATCAATACACAACTTGCCAACATATGAACAATACATAACTAGCACATATTCATTAAATACACAACTACACAATTTCCACAAATACACATACAAAAATATATGCTAATAATGCACGACTTGCACAAAACAATACACAATTTATAGAAATATAATCAATACATAATTGCAATAATCATACAACTTATGCAAAATACATAATCTACACAATTAATACACAAGTATATTAATTGTGCTATATATGTACAAATACAAACACAACAAACTAGGTCAAACAATACACAATTTGCAAGATATTTTTCTAGGTATATTTAGGACATTAATCATAATATGCTGAGTTTAACCAACTCCCCAAAAGTCAGAATTTCACATATAAAAATGGTACATATGACTTCCTATGAGCTCAATATAAAACACATTCATTTTCCATTAAAATTTCAACATTATGAGGGCTAAACTATTCATCTAACATATGTCCATTGTTTTTACATGAAGGCCCCACACGTGACTCCCACCGCCGCAACCTCCAACACCACCGCTGCCACCCCCAAACCACCGCCACCTCCACTGCCGCCACCCCTCACACCACCGCCACCACCCCCAACACCACCGCCCCCACCTCCAGCACCACTGCCGCCACCCCCAACACTACCGCCGCCACCCCCAACACCACCGTCGCCACCCCCAACACCACCGTCGCCACCCCCAACACCACGGCCGCCACCCCCAACACCACCGTCGCCACCCCCAACACCACGGCCGCGACCCCCAAACCACCGCCGCCACCACCAACACCACTGCTGCCACCCCAATTATACTATATATTTAAGGTAGGAATATATTTTCACATATAAACATAACATTTCCCTAATTTAACCCAATACTATAATTTCGAAGTAAGGGGCAGTCTAAACCCTCTGGTTGTGGGTTAGGATAAGGAAAGTTGGGTAAATGGTAATTTAATAGTTTTGGTGAGTTATATCCCTTTCTAACTAAGGTTAAGGATGGTTAAGTAGAACTGATGTAGAGAAAATTCCCATTATTATCATATTTTCCATTAACCTCCCTCCACCAGGTAATAGAGGTTAGGTTGAGGATGGTTGTATTGATGTGAAAAAATGCAACGAATATGATGCAATATTGAACCAAGATCCGTGCATCAGAGGTTAAGTCCAGGGCGGTTGGGTTGATGAATAAACAACACTTTCTTCCCATAAATACAGTAAATTTGAAGTTAGATAAAGGGAGGTTAGGTCCAGAACGGCTGGGTTGATGCACAAACAACACGGTCCTCCCATATTTACGATAAATTTGAAGTTCGATAGAGGGAGGTTAGGTCCAGAACGGTTGGGTTGATGTGTAAAAACAAAAACACCTACCCAACAATATAGCTACAATAATGAACACAATTCCAAGTTTTAAAGGAGAGGTGCTGTTAGGTCCATATCCAAAACAACACTTTTCTATGAATATGGCTACAATGTTCAACAAAGAACCTAGTAGGTTAGGCACAGTGCGGATAGGTTCTTATCCAAAACTTCACTTTTCGAAGAAAATAGATAAAATATTCAACAATGCTCCAAGACTCTTGCAGGTTAGGCACGGGCATTTAGGTTCATATCCAAAAAACATCACTTCTCTGAGTATATGTCGTATCAGAGGTTAGGTCCAGGTTTAGATGGAATTAGATTAGATGGAATGTGGGTAAAATGGGCTTTGACTGTGCTATGATACACATCATTTAGGTATATTTGGTGGAAATTGTCTCCGATTTGGTGGCGATAGCTTAAATTTCCCCAACTTTAATCAAATCTGCTAGGTCAGGGTTAGGTAAGGCTATGTAGGGTAGGTTGGAATATGTGAAAACTTGGCTAAAATGGTCTTTGGCTGTGATATGTAACAAAACATTTTGGGCATATTTGTAGAAATTTTCTTAAATTAGGTTGAATTTTGGTGAGTAAGCATAAATTTCACGAACTTTAATCAAACCTAGCTTGGGATATGCTAGGTCAGGTTAGGTAAGGCTGTGTAAGGTAAGATGGAATAGGTGAAAACTTGGGTGAAATGAACTTTGGCTATGCTAAGATAGAAAACATTTGGGTAAATTCTGTGGAAATTGGCTTAAATTAGTTTGAATTTAGGTGGGAAAGGCATAAATTTTGCCATCTTTAATCAAATCTAACTTTGGATATGCCAGATGAGGCTGGGTAGGGTTGTCTAGGGTAGGTTGGGATAGATGAAAAACTTAGCTAAAATGAGCTTTGGCCGTGCTATGTTACAAAACATTTTTTGGTATATTTCGTGGAAATTGTCTTAAATTAGGTCAGATTTATGTGGGATAACTTAATTTTTGCCGACTTTAACCAAATTTAGATTTGGATATGCTAGGTTAGGTTAGGTAAGGTCGCGTAGGGTAGGATGAAATGGGAGAAAATGTAGGTAAAAATGGGCTTTGGCGATGCTATGGTACACACCATTTGGATATATTTGGTGGGAATTGTCCTAAATTAGGTCGAATGTAGGCGGCATAGCTTAAATTTCGCCAACTTTAACCAAATCCAGGTTTGGATATGCTAGGTCAGGTTAGGTGAGGTTGTGTAGGGCAGGATGGAAAAAGGAGAAAATGTTGGTAAAAAAAATGGGATTTGAGAGGGCTGATACACAACATTTGGGTATATTTGGTGGAAATTGGCTTAAATTAGGTTAAATTTAGGTGGCATAGCATAAATTTCGCCAACTTTAAGCAAATCCAGGTGCTAGGTCAGGTTAGGTGAGGTTGTGTAGGGTAGTATGGAATAGGTGAAAATGTTGGTAAAAAATGGGCTTTGGCAGTGCTATGCTACACAACATTTGGGTATATTTGGTGGAAATTGCCATAAATTATGTCGAATTTAAGTGGGCATAGCTTAAATTTCACCAACTTGAACTAGATCTAGGTTTGAATATGCTAGGTCAGGTTAGGTGAGGTCGTGTAGGGAAGGACATATATAATATCTTAGGGGTAATGAACTAGCATGTTCATGAAATAGTGTAAATTTTCCTATTTGGGGTTCGAGCTATATGACCAACTCATGTAATGTTTGGACAGAGGTGACAGAGGCTTGTATGTGAGGATATGGGATGCTCATATTTAGTTAGTTTAGCTTTTACTAGGTTGAATTTAGGTAAATTTGTGTAGTATAAGTATATTTTTTGATAGATTTAGATGAATTTAGATTTTAATAGGATGCATTTTGATAAGATATAGCAAATTTTCTTAAAATTATCATAGAAAATACGGACTTCACCAAACCTAACATAACTAAGGCTAGAATAAATAAGTCTATTAGATGGTTTGCATAAATAAATATGGGTGGCCTGATTGGAGAGGATGTAACAAGGAAGGTATTAATAAGACATTAAAAACAATGGACATATGTTAGATGAATAGTTTAGCACTAATAATGTTGAAATATTAATGGAAAATGAATGTGTTTTATATTGAGCTCATCGGGAGTTATATGCACCATTTTTATATGTGAAATTCTAACTTTTTGGGAGTCACGTGTGGGGCCTTCATGTTAGTCACGTGCGGGGACCTCATGTTAGTAACGTGTGGGGCCCTCATGTTAGTCACGTGTGGGGCCTTCAGGTTAGTCACGTGTGGGGCCTTCATGTTAGTCACGTGTGGGGCCTTCATGTAGGTCACGTGTGGGTCCTTCATGTTAGTCACATGTGGGGCCCCTCATGTTAGTCACGTGTAGGGCCTTCATGTTAGTCACGTGTGGGGCCTTCATGTTAGTCACGTGTGGGGCCTTCATGTTAGTCACGTGTTGGGCCTTCATGTTAGTCATGTGTGGGGCCTTCATGTTAGTCACGTGTGTGTCTTTCATGTTAGTCACATGTTGGGCCTTCATGTTAGTCACGTGTGGGGCCTTCATGTTAGTCACGTGTGTGTCTTTCATGTTAGTCACATGTGGGGCCTTCATGTTAGTCACGTGTGGGGCCTTCATGTTAGTCACGTGTGGGGCCTTCATGTTATTCACGTGTGTGTCTTTCATGTTATTCACGTGTGGGGCCTTCATGTTAGTCACATGTGGGGCCTTCATGTAAGTCATGTGTGGGGCCTTCATGTTAGTCACGTGTGAGGCCTTCATGTTAGTCACGTGTGTGTCTTTCATGTTAGTCACATGTGGGGCCTTCATGTTAGTCACGTGTGGGGTCTTCATGTTAGTCACGTGTGGGGCCTTCATGTTAGTCATGTGTGGATCCTTCATGTTAGTCACGTGTGAGGCCTTCATGTCAGTCACGTGTGGGGCCTTCATGTTAGTCACGTGTGTTTCCTTAATGTTAGTCACGTGTTGGTCCTTCATGTTAGTCACGTGTGGGGTTTTCATGTTAGTCACGTGTGAGGCCTTCATGTTAGTCACGTGTGTGTCTTTCATGTTAGTCACGTGTGGGGCCTTCATGTTAGTCACGTGTGTTTCCTTAATGTTAGTCACGTGTTGGTCCTTCATGTTAGTCACGTGTGGGGTTTTCATGTTAGTCACGTGTGGGGCCTATATGTTAGTCACGTGTGTGTCTTTCATGTTAGTCATGTGTGGGGCCTTCATGTTAGTCACGTGTGGGGCCTTCATGTTAGTCCCGTGTGTGTCTTTCATGTTATTCACGTGTGGGGCCTTCATGTTAGTCACGTGTGGGGCCTTTATGTTAGTCATGTGTAGGGCCTTCATGTTATTCACGTGTGGGTCCTTCATGTCAGTCATGTGTGGGTCCTTCATGTTAGTCATGTGTGGGTCCTTCATGTTAGTCATGTGTGGGTCCTTCATGTTAGTCATGTGTGGGTCCTTCATGTTAGTCACGTGTGGGGCCCTCATGTTAGTCACGTGTAGGGACCTCATGTTAGTCACGTGTGTGGACCTCATGTTAGTCACGTTCAGGGACCTCATGTTAGTCACGTGTGGGGCCTTCATGTTAGTCACGTGTGGGGCCCTCATGTTAGTCACGCGTAGGGACCTCATGTTAGTCACGTTCAGGGACCTCATGTTAGACACGTGTGTTTCCTTCATGTTAGTCACGTGTTGGTCCTTCATATTAGTCACGTGTGGGGTCTTCATGTTAGTCACGTGTGGGGTTTTCATGTTAGTCACGTTCGGGGACCTCATGTTAGTCACGTGTGGGGCCTTCATGTTAGTCACGTGTGTTTCCTTCATGTTAGTCACGTGTTGGTCCTTCATATTAGTCACGTGTGGGGTCTTCATGTTAGTCACGTCACGTGGGGCCTTCATGTTTCATGTTAGTCACGTGTGGGGCCTTCATGTTAGTCACGTGTGTGGCCTTCATAGAGGTCACGTGTGGGGCCCTCATGTTAGTCACGTGTGGGGACCTCATGTTAGTCACGTGTGGGGCCTTCATGTTAGTCACGTGTTGGTCCTTCATGTTAGTCATGTGTGGGTCCTTCATGTTAGTCATGTGTGGGGCCTTCATGTTAGTCACGTGTGGGGCCTTCATGTTAGTCATGTGTGGGTCCTTCATGTTAGTCACGTGTGGGGCCTTCATGTTAGTCACGTGTTGGTCCTTCATGTTAGTCACGTGTGGGGGCCTTCACGTTAGTCACGTGTGGGGCCTTCATGTTAGTCACGTGTGGGGCCTTCATGTTAGTCACGTGTGAGGCCTTCATGTTAGTCACATGTTGGGCCTTTATGTGTGTCACGTGTGAGGCCCTGATGTGAGTCACGTGTGGGGCCTTCATGTTAGTCACGTGTGGGGCCCTGATGTTAGTCACGTGTGCGGGCTTCATGTTAGTCACGTGTGGGGGCTTTCATGTTATTCACGTGTTGGTCCTTCATGTTAGTCACGTGTGGGGCCTTCATGTTAGTCACGTGTGGGGTTTTCATGTTAGTCACGTGTGGGCCTTCATGTTAGTCATGTGTGGGGCCTTCATGTTAGTCACGTGTGGGGCCCTCATGTTAGTCACGTGTGGGGCCTTCATGTTAGTCACGTGTGGGGCCCTCATGTTAGTCACGTGTGGGGTCTTCATGTTAGTCACGTGTGGGCCTTCATGTTAGTCATGTGTGGGGCCTTCATGTTAGTCACGTGTGGGGCCCTCATGTTAGTCACGTGTGGGGTCTTCATGTTAGTCACGTGTGGGGCCCTCATGTTAGTCACGTGTGGGCCTTCATGTTAGTCATGTGTGGGGCCTTCATGTTAGTCACGTGTGGGGCCCTCATGTTAGTCACGTGTGGGGCCCTCATGTTAGTCACGTGTGGGGTCTTCATGTTAGTCACGTGTGGGGCCTTAATGTTAGTCACGTGTGGGGCCTTCATGTTAGTCATGTGTGGGGCCTTCATGTTAGTCACGTGTGGGGTCTTCATGTTAGTCACGTGTGGGGCCTTAATGTTAGTCACGTGTGGGGTCTTCATGTTAGTCATGTGTGGGGCCTTCATGTTAGTCACGTGTGGGGCCCTCATGTTAGTCACGTGTGGGCCTTCATGTTAGTCACGTGTGTGTCTTTCATGTTATTCAAGTGTGGGGCCTTCATGTTAGTCACGTGTGTGTCTTTCATGTTATTCACGTGTGGGGCTTTTATGTTAGTCACGTGTGGGACCTTCATGTTAGTCACGTTCAGGGACCTCATGTTAGTCACGTGTGGGGCCTTCATGTTAGTCACGTGTGGGGCCCTCATGTTAGTCACGCGTAGGGACCTCATGTTAGTCACGTTCAGGGACCTCATGTTAGACACGTGTGTTTCCTTCATGTTAGTCACGTGTTGGTCCTTCATATTAGTCACGTGTGGGGTCTTCATGTTAGTCACGTGTGGGGTTTTCATGTTAGTCACGTTCGGGGACCTCATGTTAGTCACGTGTGGGGCCTTCATGTTAGTCACGTGTGTTTCCTTCATGTTAGTCACGTGTTGGTCCTTCATATTAGTCACGTGTGGGGTCTTCATGTTAGTCACGTGTGGGGTTTTCATGTTAGTCACGTTCGGGGACCTCATGTTAGTCACGTGTGGGGCCTTCATGTTAGTCACGTGTGTTTCCTTCATGTTAGTCACGTGTTGGTCCTTCATATTAGTCACGTGTGGGGTCTTCATGTTAGTCACGTGTGGGGTTTTCATGTTAGTCACGTGTGGGGCCTTCATGTTAGTCACGTGTGTGGCCTTCATAGAGGTCACGTGTGGGGCCCTCATGTTAGTCACGTGTGGGGACCTCATGTTAGTCACGTGTGGGGCCTTCATGTTAGTCACGTGTTGGTCCTTCATGTTAGTCATGTGTGGGTCCTTCATGTTAGTCATGTGTGGGGCCTTCATGTTAGTCACGTGTGGGGCCTTCATGTTAGTCATGTGTGGGTCCTTCATGTTAGTCACGTGTGGGGCCTTCATGTTAGTCACGTGTTGGTCCTTCATGTTAGTCACGTGTGGGGCCTTCACGTTAGTCACGTGTGGGGCCTTCATGTTAGTCACGTGTGGGGTTAGTCAGGCCTTCATGTTAGTCACATGTTGGGCCTGTCACACTGATTGAGTCACGTGTGGGGCCTTCATGTTAGTCACGAGTGTGATGGTCCGTGTTTCATGTTAGTCACGTGTGGGCTTTCATGTTATTCACGTGTTGTATGTGTTAGTCACGTGTGGGGCCTTCATGTTAGTCACGTCACGTGTGGGCCTTCATGTTAGTCATGTGTGGGGCCTTCATGTTAGTCACGTGTGGGCCCTCATGGTCACGTGTGGGGCCTTCATGTTAGTCACGTGTTGGTCCTTCATGTTAGTCACGTGTGGGGTCTTCATGTTAGTCACGTGTGGGGTCTTCATGTTAGTCACGTGTGGGCCTTCATGTTAGTCATGTGTGGGGCCTTCATGTTAGTCACGTGTGGGGCCCTCATGTTAGTCACGTGTGGGGTCTTCATGTTAGTCACGTGTGGGGCCCTCATGTTAGTCACGTGTGGGGTCTTCATGTCACGTGTGGGGCCCTCATGTTAGTCACGTGTGGGGTCTTCATGTTAGTCACGTGTGGGCCTTCATGTTAGTCATGTGTGGGGCCTTCATGTTAGTCACGTGTGGGGCCCTCATGTTAGTCACGTGTGGGGTCTTCATGTTAGTCACGTGTGGGGCCTTAATGTTAGTCACGTGTGGGGTCTTCATGTTAGTCATGTGTGGGGCCTTCATGTTAGTCACGTGTGGGGCCCTCATGTTAGTCACGTGTGGGCCTTCATGTTAGTCACGTGTGTGTCTTTCATGTTATTCACGTGTGGGGCCTTCATGTTAGTCACGTGTGTGTCTTTCATGTTATTCACGTGTGGGGCCTTCATGTTAGTCACGTGTGTGTCTTTCATGTTATTCACGTGTGGGGCTTTTATGTTAGTCACGTGTGGGACCTTCATGTTAGTCACGTGTGTTTCTTTCATGTTATTCACGTGTGGGTCCTTCATGTTAGTCACCTGTGGGGCCTTCATGTAAGTCATGTGTAGGTCTTTCATGTTATTCACGTGTGGGGCCTTCATGTTAGTCACGTGTGGGTCCATCACGTTAGTCACGTGTCGGGCCTTCATATTAGTCACGTGTGGGGCCTTCTTGTTAGTCACGTGTGGGTCCATCACGTTAGTCACGTGTCGGGCCTTCACGCCAATCGGAGGTCTCACCCCTCACCGTCACTCTCTGCTTCCTATTGCTTAGGTACTCCCTTATCCACTGGAGCACCTTACCAGCTACACCTGCCTGTCTCTCCAGCTTATGTACCAGCCTCTTATGCAGTACTGTGTGAAAGGCTTTCCGACAATCCAAGAAAATGCAGTCCGCCCAGCCCTCTCTTTCTTGCTTAATCTGTGTTACCTGGTCATAAAATTCTATTAAGCCTGTCAGGCAAGATTTACCCTCCCTGAACCCATGTTGTCGATTTGTCACGAAGTCCCTTCTCTCCAGATGTGCTAACAGGTTTTTTCTCACGATCTTCTCCATCACCTTGCATGGTATACAAGTTAAGGTGTGTGTGTGTGTGCGTGTGTGTGTGTGTGTGTGTGTGTGTGTGTGTGTGTGTGTGTGTGTGTGTGTGTGTGTGTGTGTGTGTGTGTGTGTGTGTGTGTGTGTGTGTGTGTGTGTGTGTGTGTGTGTGTGTGTGTGTGTGTGTTTGTGTGTGTGTGTGCGTGTGAATACACACATTACTAGTGTATGTATGTGTATATACACACATTTCTAGTGTGTGTGTGTGTACTTACCTAGTTGTACTTACCAGTTGTTCTTGTGGAGTTCAGCTCTGGCTCTTTGGTCCCGCCTCTCAACTGTCAATCACGTAATGTACAGGTGTCATTTTCCCAAACGAGCTTTGTGAGCCTGGCCAGTGTTGTTGCGGCCTTCCCGATACGCCTATTGAGCTCAGTGTCCAGAGAATGGGTGTCTGGGATTGTACAGCCCAGGTACACAAACTCTTGAACTGCCTCCAGCTCATAGTCTGCGATGTTTATACAGGATAGCTCATTGACATCTTGTCCCATCACCTGCATCTTCTTCAGGCTGATTGTCAGGCCGAATACCGAAAAGTCTGCGGCAAAGCGGTTGAGTAGCTGCTGCAGGCCTTATGCTGTGTGTGTGTCTTGATCGCTGCGTCGTCGGCGAAGAGAAACTCCCTGAGGATTCGCATCTATACTTTCGTCTTTGCTCGGAGTCTGGATAAATTGAAGAGCTTTCCATCAGATCTTGTAAGGAGATAGATGCCCTCTGAGGTTGTTCCAATGTTATGCTTGACGAGGATTGTGAAGAAAAGGCGGAACAGGGTTGAAGCAAGAACGCACCACTGTTGATGTTGAATGGTTCCGAAGTTGAGCTGTCGTACACAACTGTTCCCTTCATGTCCTTGTGGAACGGTTGTATCATGCTGAGTAGGGTGGGTGGGCAGCCCATTTTATTCAAGATCTTGAAGAGTTCGTCCCTGCACACGAGGTCGAAGGCTTTTGTAAGATCAATGAAGGCGATGTACAAGGCTTTTCTCTGCTCCCTGCACTCCTTGAAGCTGTCTCAGGGAGAACACCATGTCAGTGGTCGACCTCTCTGCTCGGAAACCACACTGTGACTCGGGGTACACTCTTTCAGCAAGAATCTGAAGCCTGACTAAGACGACCCTGGCGAAGAGTTTGCCGAGGACGCTGAGGAGGGAGATGCCGCGATAGTTGTTAACATCGCTTCTGTCACCTTTATTTTTGTAGAGAGTGATGATGTTTGCATCTCTCATGTCTTGTGGCACTGAGCCCTCCCTCCAGCACTGCCACAGAAGTTCATGAAGCTCAGTTTTAAGAGTTCCACGAACGCACTTGAGAACTTCAGGCGGAATCCCCTCATCTCCTGGGCCCTTCCCTTAGGAAAGTGAATCCAGTGATTTCTCAAGGTTTTCCACAGTCGGTTCATGATGGGCACAGGATTGCATTCAAGGCCACTACGCTGACCATGTTCTCTCTGGAGTAGAGTTTGGAGTAATGTTCCACCCAGCGATTCATCTGTTGATCACGGTCTTAAATGATATCTCCGGTGGCTAACTTCAGAGGAGCCGTCCTGTTTTGTGTAGTGCCTGTTGGCTGTATGATCCATTCGCACATGCCTCTTATGTTGCCGACAGCCAGTCGGAGCCAGTAATCGTTAGCACAGCGCCTTGTAGTTTGTTGAACTTTACTGCGGAGAGTTCGGAGGGCCTGTAGGTTTTTTCCTGAGGGAAGATTCATGCAGGCTGAGAGAGCTCATCTCTTTTCCTCTACGAGGGGTAACAGTTCCTCTGCACTAGTCTCGAGGCCAGTCTCCCTGCCTCTTACCGAAGGTGGACGTGGCAGTGTTGAAAATAGTACCAATGAGGTGTGACCTTTCACTTGCGCTATCGCAGGGTGGTCCGGGAAGGGCATTTACGAAGTAAATCTCAGGGCAGCTGTGAACTCCTCCACCTTGTGAAGGTCATGGGTCATGTTTACGTTAATGTTAACTGCCATGTTGTTACCTGCCATGTGTGGGTGTGTAAGTGTGGTGTGTACTCGTCTAGATGTGCTTGCAGAATCGAGCTAAGCTCCTAGCCCTGCCTTCCAACGTTCGTAGATTAATGTAGCGACTTATTTCTCATGCTTTTATCATATTTACATATACAAAATTTTGAATTGAATTAGCTTCAACGACTTCTTAAACTAACCAATTCCCGTTATTTACAGCTCCAACACTGAAAACGTCCTTCCTGATGTCTCTTTGACTTATTTGTTTCCATTTTCCATCCATGACCCTTCCTTCTGGTGTTCCTAACTTTGAACAACACTGATTTGTAGACTTTGTCAATTTTCCTCAGAAAAATATGTTGTTGTCACGTCTCCCTGTCTCACCTTTCCTCCAGTGTGGTAAGTTCCAGTTCTCTCAGTCTTTCTTCATAGCTCAATACCCTCAGCTCCGGAATTAGTTTTGTTACATATCCTTGGAACTTTCCTAGTTCCTCTTTGTCTTTTTTTCAGGTAAGGGTTCCATGCTGGGGATGGATTCCCTCACCACCTTCCATGTCCCTCACCACCTTCCATGTCCCTCACCACCTTCCATGTCCCTCACCACCTTCCATGTCCCTCACCACCTTCCATGTCCCTCACCACCTTCCATGTCCCTCACCACCTTCCATGTCCCTCACCACCTTCCATGTCCCTCACCACCTTCCATGTCCCTCACCACCTTCCATGTCCCTCACCACCTTCCATGTCCCTCACCACCTTCCATGTCCCTCACCACCTTCCATGTCCCTCACCACCTTCCATGTCCCTCACCACCTTCCATGTCCCTCACCTCTTCCACCTCACCACCTTCCATGTCCCTCACCACCTTCCATGTCCCTCACCACCTTCCATGTCCCTCACCACCTTCCATGTCCCTCACCACCTTCCATGTCCCTCACCACCTTCCATGTCCCTCACCACCTTCCATGTCCCTCACCACCTTCCATGTCCCTCACCACCTTCCATGTCCCTCACCACCTTCCATGTCCCTCACCACCTTCCATGTCCCTCACCACCTTCCATGTCCCTCACCACCTTCCATGTCCCTCACCACCTTCCATGTCCCTCACCACCTTCCATGTCCCTCACCACCTTCCATGTCCCTCACCACCTTCCATGTCCCTCACCACCTTCCATGTCCCTCACCACCTTCCATGTCCCTCACCACCTTCCATGTCCCTCTTGTCCCTCACCACCTTCCATGTCCCTCACCACCTTCCATGTCCCTCACCACCTTCCATGTCCCTCACCACCTTCCATGTCCCTCACCACCTTCCATGTCCCTCACCACCTTCCATGTCCCTCACCACCTTCCATGTCCCTCACCACCTTCCATGTCCCTCACCACCTTCCATGTCCCTCACCACCTTCCATTCGATTCGGTAACATTTATGTATATAACTTGGCTTAAACTCTTCCTGGAGTGCTTGTACTCCCACGTTCGATACACTGGTTGACTCT